GGGGAGAAGGACTCCCCGTCCTTTCTAATTATACTTGGAGATACATGCTCATATGTTGAAATCTTTTATAGATAGATAAAAATAGATAGCTGTGAATCTATGACACAAATTCGAAGTGAAAGGCAAGTATCATTTAATAAAATAAACCAAAATCGCATGGGGGGAGATAGTGAGCGTGTCCTAACAATGATGTGTACGCAACTGCGTATCTGCCTATCTGCGCCTAACAAATGTGTCACTACGCACGACTGAAATTGTACGTTCATAACCGTAGCAACAGACCCCAGATGAGCCCAGACGCTCTGCGGCTCTTGTTTTTCTTCTTTTTCTGGTAGTGTGCATGGTTGCTCAGGTATAACTCAGGTCGTGTTCCCAATGTTCAAGTTGAGTACAAATTTAGTGACAGTTTTGATATGCATGGATAATGAAAAGTTACAAGTCAGATTTTTACTAATGTTCCCTGCATGCAAAGTGAGTTTATAAAAGTGGTAGGTCAAATGCTTTTTATATAAAATTATGTCTAGATAAGTTTTCTCTTTTGAATATTTGTAATTCCAATGAACTCGCACTGATTTAAACTGTACATCGATGCACTGGTTAACATTGACTCAATTTGACTGCATAATATTAACCGATGGTTCCTCCAGCTTGTGCCAGCTACTATATAGTGACTCTGTGTGTAGCATTGATAGTGTTGTATACTTTATGTTACGTTTTACAGAGAGGTCCTTGTGTTCTACATGGACCCACTTACCACCTTTTCACGGCTGGGCAATGAGATCAGAAGCATTTGCAAGTTTAAGAGTGATCAGATTTTCACTATAAAATGGGTAGACGAGGAAGGTAAGCATGATGTCACAGATATATCTAAATCTGGGTTTACGCTATCAACTTTTAGTTGAAAAGTTGACAGATTGGTCACGAATGCTCGCGAAATGTACAGCTGGATACCGGAATGCTGGCTACACAATATTTTGGTCCTTGTAATTTTTTACAAGTTAATATCTATATCCAGAGTTATTCCGAGGTGGTTAACTGCATGTCGGTTGCGACATACCTTCTCAGCGGAAGCTGATTTGCGACGTCCCGTGAATCGCCCCGCATGAATTAATTGCCTAATCGACATGCCTTCATTTCTGAACTGTGTTTTCTTCTGAAAATCCCAACACATTCATGCAGTGTTTTCACAGCTTGATGTATCTGTACTGATCGAGTGTGCCTGTATATTTGGGGTCGCTTGGGACACGCGCGTAATTGACTCAAATTGGAAATCAAAGATGAATTTCCTGGTTGGCCGACGTAACTATACATGTACCACACATCTTGTCTGCAGGAGACCCCTGTACAATATCATCTCAGGAGGAACTAGAGGAAGCAATACGCCTCTATGATGTCAACAAGGAAAATGAACTTAGCATGCATAGTGAGTAGCAGATCATGTGGCTGCGTGTACACATTAATTACGCCGCATTATAAAATGTGTAGTATACCACGAAAAGTAACGGTTTTTAATTTCACGGCATTTATGTATAGACATAAAATACAAACGCTATCTGTGTTTTTGTTTTCATGTACTTTTGTAAAGTAAAATAATATGTACACATATGAAGTAGTTATGTGATCAGTTATCAGAATTTAATAAATGTAATTTTTCCTCTTTTAGTATTCCCTAACGTGCCTCAGCGACCAGGATTGCCTTGTGTGGGAGAGGATCGTAAGTAACTTTTGGTATATCAGCTTAAATTGACTACGTCACGAATTTTCTATGGTAAAATTTGTAAAATTTTTGTTGATATTTTTTTACATTAAAAGTAAGAACTAACGGGACTAAACGTATGCAAACTTCTGGACGATTTGATATTAGTGTTCCTGACAATAATTGCTTGCTATGGGTTATGTATGCGTCACAAGTGTATAATAAGTAAGTATAAGTAATAAGCAATAATAAGTATAATGCAGCAATTTAACCATAAAAAGTGAACAGAATTACTTATATTTTTGTGAAAAGTGGAATTTATTTTTTATTTTTTATTGTTTATGGTGACGTAATCACTTTAAAGTGATTACGTCACGAATTTCTAGAGCAGCCATCAAGTAGTATATTTGTGTGTTATTTGTACAAAATAAAATGTATGAAAATACAATTAGTGTTTCTGTTACTTTCATGCTTATATAGCTTCTTTATATGCCCTAAATTTGTCCGGTGAAAAACCGAGAGACGCCAGTATGCTGACAGTACTGGGGGAATAGTGTTAGACACAGAAAATTACCAAATCGTCTAGATTTTTGCAAATTTATACCAACACGTAAAAGCATTTTTATCAGGTGAGAGTTTGAGGATATATTTAGTAACATTAGTTCTTCTTTTAATGTAAAAAAAATGGCAATTTTTTTTTACAAATTTTACCATAGAAAATTTGTGACGTAGTCAATTTAATGGTTAAAAGCCTGCCATCTAAGACTTAATGATATTCAATCTCAAGAAATAACACAGAATGGCTGTTCATTTGTTTACGTGTGTGCTTGCAGGAGCGATGTATCGCAGGGGTGCCAGAAGGTGGCGCAAGTATTACCGAGTTAACGGACATACATTCCAGCCCAAGCGTTTCAGCCGGGTAAGCTAACTCTGTATTTATTTATACATTCACCCAGATATTCGTATGAATCTAGTGTAAATCTATTGCACAATCCAACCTCTGTTAGCGAACTCCTCTATACAACAAACACCTGCCTATAAAGAACGTCTGGTTTCTTTTGATTAACCAGGTATATTCAGGTTTGACTAATATATATATGTGTGTGTATACATTCAGGTTTTACATGTGCGTGCGTGCATGTGTTCATGCATATAATGTGGACAAAGTATAAGCTTTGAAAGGAGCTAGTTGTTAGGCAACTGTGTTGTGTTTATGTTTGAGTGTGGCCTTATGTCAGGTTATCTGAGAGTTATATAGCCACCATGCAGACTATGTCCTTGCTCTATTATGGGCTCTTGTTCTGTTGTCTATTTTCGATGCCCATACGCTGAGATAATGAACGGTGAAAATCTGGTATTTTTGCCGAAAACTCACTCGAGATCAGTCAGTTACTGTGACAGTCTCTCGAAGTGTTATAACTTTGGTAAACCTCGGCGTGTTTCCGTCAATGATTGACAAAATGGAATGAATGAGGTCTGTTATTGATTGCCATAGTGAATGACGCCCTTAGCTGTGGCACCTCACGCGCACCTCACGCTGGATGTATAGTAAAACTCTGTAGTAATGATGTGAGTCAGCGGCCACTATGGCGCTACAGCAGCGGCGACGCGAAGCAACATCACTGTCCACACTTTGAGAGAGGCTCGCAGTATTGACTAATGTCTAGTCGGTGTTCAGCGAAAATAACCAGATTTTCACTCGCTCATTTATCTCAGCGTATGTGCATCGTAGGGACATGTGGTTTGTTTTTATATGAACAAGGTAGGCACAGCTGATCAATAATACTGGCAAAGAATCGTCAAAATAACAAGGGAAAGTTTATTAATTCGACTAATACTGGCAAGCATAGGTTTCAGCATTTACCGTTGTACGCTCTCTTTCTTTATATGCTCTTGATATCTATATATATATATATAGATAAAGTATACGGACACCGGTAGTAATTTTTGACTCTGTTTATTGCCATACAGAACTGTTTCGTGTGGAGCGAAAGCTCCACACTCATCAATGCCTAATACAGAGTGATCTATTTAGAAGAACATCCCGAGAATAAATTCTAAATAGATCACTCTGTATTAGGCACTGATGAGTGTGGAGCTTTCGCTCCACCACGAAACAGTTTCTGTATGGCAATAAACAGAGTCAAAATTACTACCGTGTCTGTATAACTTTATCTATATTGTGCTCTGAACTGCATGGTAGTATTGAGCACTCTTGACACGACGAGTTTATAAACAACCATTGGAATATATCTTATATATATATAATATATATATATAGTATATAGAGAGAGAGAGAGAGAGAGAGAGAAGAGAGAGAGAAGAGAGAGAGGGTATGGGAGAGAGAGAAACATACATAGTACACGTTAGAAAGAATGGGAGGTGAGTGTTTTTATAAAAAATAAGGCAAATAAAGGAAGTAGAAATAAAAGTCGTGCACATCATCAATATATTCAGTCAGCCGTCGACAGTAACATTGACAGCATAGTATGAACGCTACATACGTTTGCACGTTTAATCTACCACAGGTGTGAAAATTGCTGCTATTTGGTTCTACTTGGCAGCCGAACAATAGAGTCAGTGTCACTAGCTACCACCCTCTGTTGACTCAATTAGAGGCATGCTAGCATGTTACTTGGAGCGAGTTTACCACAGTAGAGTGAAATTATGCACTAGGAAGCTTCCTTATCTGGAAGTCTGTTACTGAAATTATAACAATTTCTGTTTCGTAATGCTTCTACTTGTTGTAAGTTCACTTGACATAATGGTGATATGAAGAGTGAACACAACTGTATATGTTATTAGTTTAAAATGCAAAACAGGCCAGCAAACGTGGAAATTGTAGATTTTTGGGTGAATGTACCAGTTATGACTCACTATAGTTTAATCTGTGTGAACATGTAATTTAGATATCAGGGATGACGACCACTATTTAAATAGTTATTTGTGATATTTACACATAGAATAAGAAACATTGTCAAGAAACAAGGGAAACTATAATGTTAAGTGCTAGACGTGATGCGGCCATGATACCAAGGCTCGCCGAGGATTGACACTTTGTGTCTTCCAATCACAGTCTACGCCGCCTCCTTATTCTTCTAACTTTTAGGTACAATACTATTCGAGCATGGAATCGCCGATCTGCAGGAACTAGGGCATTCTGCTAGGCCTAGAACGGTTTCCTACGATAGAGTTTGCACAAAAACGAAAATAACACACGCGTTTAGCGCACTACGCTACGTACTTTTGTTGGCATTTGGGCATCTCCATAATAAGAATAAGCCCCGCCTTCTTCGTTGATGGGCATGAATGGGGCGTCAACGACGTGACCCGTTACTGCGTGTAGGTGTTTCGCGGAGACTGTTTGCTTTTCGTATATAATGAAATGTCCGCTGATGCATTTTCGCATCGAACAAGAAAATTTTCTGCATTTTCACGTCGCTGTCGAAGTGAACGAGTGCGTCATTCCATTGAACAATTCAATAAAACACACACAATGTTCGAAGGCACGGAGCTAATGTTTACATGCCACAGGCGCCATCTCTTGATGTTTTATACGTAAATATGGGGATTTTCAATAAAATAACGCGTTTTTAGCTCATCTGACGTAGTCAGATGCAGCTTGTAGAATCGCATGATCGTCCGTCGTGTCTGTCAACAGTTGGGCAGCAAATCTGAACCGCTTGACCGTACGGTCACGATATTCGGGACTTTGGGGGGATCGTCAAACGAGTTGGGATGTGAAGCTGGGGGTCAAAGGTCAAAGGTCAAGAGGTGTAAAAGAAGGGGGAACATTCACTGCCTTAACTTAAGGTATAGGAGGAAATGCAGAATTGCGGGCACATCTAAACGGCTCGACCTAGGCTCGTGATAGTCGTGTATAGCATCATGGTAGGAAAAGCCATCACTGTGCCGAAATTGGAGGTCACAGGTCAAAGGTCAATGGGCAGCAGGGCAGATTTTAGACATTTTCTGAGGAAATGGTCTGACGGAGCGATTGAAAAACTTTTTGTTTCAGCAGTGACCTAGCATTTTTATGGCTTTGTTGAAAGGACCATGAAATGTACTTTCCGCTGACATGCGAAGAGGCAGTGTCGGATAACCTTGTGACCCTCAAGAGGAGGGTTAAACATGGATTTGTTTCTCTCTGCGTTGGCGAGTACTTGTGGGTGTGGAAAGCTCCATTTTACAGTGAAATTCCACACATAACTCTTACTTGAACAATGCTTATTTAGGAGATAATGACATGACTTATATATAAGATTCTGTAGTGTACATTATGAATAGTTGGATAGAGTCACTAGTGCTGAGAGGGTCTATGTCCCGCGGCGTACTGCCGAACGTACCCTGGGTAACGGTCCGGTATACCGGAACGTACCCCTGGTACTATCTAATATGCCGTACCGTACCTCGCCTACTCCACTAACGAGTCTAGGTAGTCGCCTACGCCTACTCTCTAACGCCTAACCCGAACCTGAACCCTAACCCTAATCCTAATCCTAATCCTAACCCTAACCATATCAAATAGTGACCAGGGTACGTTCTGGTATACCGGACCGTACCAGGGTACGTTCCGGCAGTACCGTGGGGACATAGACCCTATGAGGCGTCACTAGGCACTCAAATAATTACCCAAGATTGAGCTGGCGGATTCCAGACTTATTTTCTCATCAAATTTTGGCACCAATATAGACGCAAGTGTGTACGTTCTTGAGCTTATTCGGTCCACTAATCACTGGCCTACCTTGTACTGAAATTGTTTAGAGATATTTGCTATCGTATGCTGTAAATTGTAATTTTGCACGAGCTGCTCTGCCTCTGTTGTATCAACCATTGAGCTTTTTTTAACGATGTGCTTCGCAAGGGGTTTAATGTACTTATTACCTGACACCATAGAACGCACGTTATGTATAGTAATAATATGGTAATTATTCGCTCCTGCTTTTTGTAATCCGTCGTCACACTGACAGCTGCCATTGGCTGCAATGCTTTTGCTGACGGGGTTGGCTATCCCCCGCGTGGAGGGAGGGTCACGTGATACGTTGACGTATACTTCAAAACCATAACTCCTCCGGTAACGCTAACTCCAATACCTCCAACACAACCATACTACTAAACATCTATATGTCGAGAGCGCTATAATATAGATCCAAAAATCCACAAAAATTAATCTATGGTGGTGGGGACAGATATCATGAATACAAAAACCCTAACTCTAACCTAACCTAACCAATCCCTAACCCTAATCCAACCCTATCTTAAACCCTAACTCCTAATCCTAACCTTAACCCTAACCCCTGACCTACTCCTAACACTATTCCTAACCCTAACCCTAATCCTAACACTATCCTAGCACTAGTGGCTGCGCACGTTGCGGTCACCTTCCTCCACGCCCGGGGATAGCATTACCTTGCGGTGCCTGTGATAGCGGCCCGCCATCTATCGGAATTTATTACACTAGTTTGAAGTGTTGTTTTTTTGGGTTAGAAATGAACGTATGTATAGGACGGTCTTGCTATGCAGCAAATGAATTTATCAGCAGAACACCAGACATCAGATGAGCCCTGTCGCTCTGTCCGGCACTTGTTATATGTATTTACCGACGATTTACGTATAGAAACATATGTTATTTTTACCGATTTCTCCGTATCTTTCCTTGAAGTTTTCATCGTCTTTTCAATGCCTTTTGATAGTTTTCTGCGTGATTATTATTTTGCGGCAGGCACTCATTTGGAAATCACATCGCACATTTTTTACTTCTTGCCTTAGTTAAGTTAGTCCATGTTCACTGTTATTTAGGAAGGAAGGTAAAACTGTGCATTCGTATAAGTTCACTCTTACTTCTATAGTATGATTTTCATAATTTTCACATCTTCTGCGCCATGATCAATATTTCCATCATCATAACCTACATTTTTA